TGGGAGAGAGTTTTATTTCACGAATTATTTCATTTGTCTCGAGTTATTCCAATTAGAGCTGGGGACCGTTTCTAAGCGGGCCAACACCGTCGTCCCTGGGCGCGGCACCCCTTTTCGTCCACCGGAGGCAACGTTCCACCGGTGCAACGGCCACGCTCTAATTGCATTACGGAAACATGAGTTTCCCCCGGCGAAATATATCACGAAACTTATCGCGCCAGAGAAGAAATTGCCGTGGCTCTCGCATACACTTCGCCGCCGCGCAAGTGCAAGCCTCGTAAGCTCCGGGGCCCGCCTACGTGCGCCCTTATACCTGCCCACCCACGCCAAGCATACATCACGGCCCGCACTTTCGCTCAAGAAGAAGAAGAAGAGGAAGAGGAAGAGGAAGAAAAAAATCTCCTCCTCCTTCTTTCCGCCGTACCTTCGCTCGAGCTTCCCGCTCGTTTAAGTTTCGCGAGGTATCTTTCCCTCGCGGGGAACACTCGGTGGAGAAAGCTTCAACGTCGGAGAGAAAGCAACCGCGGCCGAGGGCGAGTTTACCGTTTTTACGTAATTCTCTGGTCTTCTCAGAGGAGGAGGAGGAGGAGGGGAGAGAGAGGCACGATGGACTTAATTAAACTCCCGAAGCCGGGGCGAGAGAATGCGGAGAAGCGGTCGCCGGTTATTTCGGAGCCGAGCGAAAAGTTATGCGCTACTAATTTGCGCGTGGACACCGGTTACGGTTAATTACGAGGCGGGAGAACGTCAGCGATATGGACAGATGCCTGAGAAAATATTGGCGGCACGAGGTGGCTTGTAAACAGGGATCCTTGCCAGAAATTCCGCCCGGCCCGCCTCGCCACCAGATGCATGCGTCTCCCTTCCGCTCGCCGCGCGATTAACACCGTTCGGGACCGGCGCGGCCTAGCAATTATCGTGGCATCGCGTGGGCGTCCCTGGAACGTGCACCCGAATAAATATCAACCGAATCGAAAAAAAATCACGATCCTAACCTCTCTCCCTACCCCCTTCCAGTCTTCTTACACTTGATTTGTGTTCAATTACCGCCACCTTCTCTCTCTCTCTCTCTCTTTCTCTATCTGCGTGCGCGTACGTTTTCTTGTTATAGTTGCGAGTCGGGGATGGACGTTTCGGACGAGGCGTCGCGACGATTTTATTTATACGGCGGCGCAAACCACCCGCGTCTCCGTGGCGTCGAGGGAAGGAGCGCGAAGCGGAGCGGGCAGATGGCACGGACAAAACGTGGAACGAGGGAGGGGACGTCGGGCAATTCGTTTCGCATTTTATATCCGGCCTCGGCCACCCGTCAGCTGATTCACCCCTCCCCTCCCCCCTCCCCCCTCTCCTCCCTGGACGACATCGGGAACGAGGATTTTATTTCGATCCTTGGTGGGGTTTAGTGAACCTGAGACGGCGGCCGGCCTTCTCGGATCTGCGGGAATAATTTAGGCGGATGTTGTTCTTGGAAAATTGGAGGTTGGAGGAGGTTGGTGGGAAAGGTGGGTGGAGGGAAAGTTTACGATGGATCGTCGCGGGTCTAAGTGAGAAGAAGCGGATAACAAGTGTTTGAACGGGCTCCTTTTAGATTTGGGCAAAGGGAATTCTTCGAATTTGTTCGAAGAGGAATCTTTACGTAGATATTTTCCCCGGTTTTTCCTTCGTTTTTTCTAAATTTTCTTACTTGCGACGAAAAGTTCGTCTCGATTGGACGAAACGAACTGTCCTCGAATTCTTTACGATTCTTTATCTCTTTTTCGTTGGATATCACTCCTCTTCGAAATAATAATAATAATCCGTTTCTTCTATCCGTTTTGTCCGAGAGAAAAAAAAAAAAAACCTTGCAATTTATCTTCGTTGTATAATTCCTGGAATTTATTCCAGGAAAAGGATTTCGGTTGAAGCGAATCCAATCCCTTCCTCCCCCCTTCCGAAATTTCAACGAGAGAGACAACGAGGGGAGGAGGGGTGAGACGCGTATTTTCCGTGAAGTTGTTCGAGAGCGGAAGGGTGAAGAGGGACGCTTAAACATCACGGTAAACAGGGACCGGTGTAATTCGGATGCTGGCGCAGGTGTTACGCGGAAACATCTATCAAGATGGCGAGATACGAGGCGAGGGGAGAGTCCCGTCCTCTGTAAAGGGAGGTGAGGGGTGGAGGGAGAATTGTGGATCAACTCGAAGAAACGGGGGATTTCTTCGGGACAGGACGCACTAAGCTTGCACGAGGGTGCTCTCGTCTTAACCCTTCCCTAACGGATCGCTTGGAATTAACTTTTCTCAACGACGCGCCTCCAAAGAGAGGCGTCCTTTCTCGCGCGACGATGGATCCGGCCAAAGAATTTTTACTTTCCAAAGATATTTCGTTATTTGTAAGTATTCGAAGCGACAGGAAAGGAAAGTTTAGCTTCTTCGGTGACTCTAGAAATTTCGTATTTCGTATTTATTTTTTTATACGATACGATAAACTCAACTTTCTATATTATACGAATTATAAAAAACAGATCGTTTAACGATAATTCAATAATCACGATATATAATAAGAATTTACGTTTCTTGCAGATAATATAGAATGAAGAAATTCAATTTATCTAATTTACCATCCCGATTAAATATATCCCACCCGTTTTATAGATCGAGAAAGAAATTATTATATCGGTATACTCCGCGGCCCTATCCACCACACCGACCCACTAAATAAAAGAAATATTCCGGCCAATAACGTTAAGTAGACGTCTCGCCCGACACCCTAAAATCGCCATCCCCTTCGATATTCCACCCACGAGCAAAAACCCTCGCTTCCAATCATCGTCCCCCTTCCCAATCTCCTGCTAAATTATCGATTCGTCGTAAAAGGACGCGGCATCGACAACAACAACGTGGAGAACGTCTCTCGAATGTCGGGACACACGCGCTCGATCGACGATAGACGAGATGGCGGATCGAGCAATTAAATTGGCGTTTTCCGGCGAGAACGAAACGAAAGGAGCGAGCTAAATCCCGCGAGACTAATTCCGGCTCACCCATAAACAGCGCTCGAACGATTAACCGTATCATTATGAATCATAAGAGGGACGAAGGCACCACCGGCCTTTTATTAATTGCGATCGTTTCGACCGGCATTCCGCGCACGGCAAATTGCCGCGAGGTAACGCGAATCACCATAAAATGTAACTTCGCCATCTTGTTGCTTGGAATCTCGAGCATGTACCTCACTTTTTTTCTTTCTTCTCTCTTGTTACTCCTTTTTAATCGATGGAGAGTGAAAAAAATAGAAAAGAAAAAGGAAGATTTGTGGAGATTTAACGTGCTTCGTATATCAACGACGCATTCCTGGAATATTCTCGGTAACGATTATTGTTCGGTTGCTCTCGATCGAAAATCGAATCGTGTGGATTTTTGGAACGGTAATATAATTTATCTCTCGTCGACGACCTTTTTCTCGCTCTAAGATTCGATTTATTTTGCACGAGTTTAGTTATCGAACGAAGTAGAAAATTTTAGAAGCAACGGTTGATTTACTCGACTCGGAAACGTTATAGAACTCTTGGAAGGTATTCGAAGCGAATTCGAATTCCTCGACGCTTATCAGCCGCACCTGCAACCGCATTCTAAGCGGATGCAGCCACCTACCTACCTACGAGGTTAGCCGGTTAACCTGTTCGATCGAGATCCTGGCGGTGAATCCTGTGCTGGATCGCGTTGTCGCGCATTTTTCGCTATCGCGTTTATGGCGTGCGGGAACCGAAAATCCTCGCCAAGTACACGCGCCCGTGAGTGCGTTTATCGGTAGCGTCAAAATTCCACTGAATTTACGGTACTCTTCTCGGTCTCGATACAAGGATTCTCGAGCAACAGGGACAAGAAGAAAGGAAGAGAGAAAGAGAGAATTAAAAAAGAGGGAAGAGGACGGTGATGGAGAAGGAAAAGGCTGGAATCGAAGGCTGGTTGTCTCTGGAAATCTCTCCCTCCCTCCGTCGACGGCCCAGATACGAAAATCGTAAAATCGGTACATAATAGCGGCTAATATAATCCGGTACGGCACTTCGCGCCGAGATTAAAGGTGCATAAAGCGGACTGTCATAAACGTTTTACAAGCTGCTCGCCGCCTACCTGGCTGCAAGCCGTGCAACGATAGATATACGTTCCCGGAACGTCTCGTTACGTCGATGGAGGATGGCCGTCGATACGATGGCTGCGTTACGATTTTATTTTATCGGTCGAAATCCGCGGGGGAAATATTCGTTTCCTCGCGTGTTACTCTCGCGTGTGGTCGAATCGAACAACGAGAAAAATAAATAAAGGAGTAATAAAGGAGAAACTCGTGATCGTCGATCGATGCTACATTGGGGGGAGGGGAGGGGGGGGGGGTGATTGAGAATTTTACGAAAGGTGAAAGGTGGAAGAAAGATAATTCGAGTAAAAATTCAAACGTGAAAAATATTAATATTCACGCATTTCGGAGAAATGGAAGGTTTCCAGGATCGGCGCTATTCTATCCTCTTAACGACTATAAATCGCGGAGATCGAATTGCTGAATTCCACGCCCGACACGCCGATACGTCAAATTCTTTTCCGCTTGGCTCGTTGGTCGTTTTCCTTCGGAACGGAACGCGAAAACCCATTGAAACGGTGGCTTTATCTTCGACAAGGGGCACGCCAGGAATCCACGACAATGCCCCCGTCTTAATGGCTAGTAGTAGCGGGGCACAGATATCGCGGGAATTTCGAAATCCGGGCGCGTCCCCTCCCCTTGTGCTCAACACAATTCCTCGTATTTCGCGCGATCGACGTATTTAGCTGATCGAGTTGTCGTTTAACCGACTTAACTTGCATATCATTGTCGCAACCGGGGATATAAAGAAGGAAATTTGTATCTCGATGGAGAGATACGAACCAGAGGTTGGGAAAGTGTCCTCGATTTCAGCTGGGATTACGTTAACTCCTCGATACGCGCAACAACGAATCGAGTAAATTGGCAAATCGAATTACTGCACTCACCAGTTATTAACTTGAAGGATCGTCAACCCCGTGTCTTGAGCCAATTGCTTCTTCTGGTCTTCCGAGGGGTACGGATGCTGGAACAGAGAGGAGAAAAAGAATAATTTAATAACTCTTTCGAGAGTACGATCGAGCAATAAACGAGTGGGGTTCGAAAACAAGTTCGTTTCGAGTCGAATCATAAATTCGCGGACGTTTATAATGTCTATAAACCCCAATCGATATTTTTCCGGCATAAATCATTCTCATTACTATCTATTATATCCAAGTATCCCTGTAAAATTTCTCTCCAAACCTCGTTGCGATGCCTCTCCCGAAGGCAAAATCGCTCTCAACAGTCCCTTTCTCTCTCGATCGTTCGTACAGATTTACCATCTTCCCTCGTTGGAATTCCTTTATTGGAACTTAATTAAAAATTTTTTATCAACTACATACCGTTATTATATAGGTACTAAAGATTAAATCACTTTGACCACTTGACCCTCCCTCCCTTCCTCCTTGCTCGTAAATTTTAAACCTACGCTTCTTCCTTAACAATTCGTTCAAAATTCTGAAACGTATATAATCTCCCTCCACGAACGATCGCAAATTCAAGGAATCATCATCCTGGAAAGAATCGATCCTAAACAACGATCTAAACCTATCCAAAAAAAAACCTTTTCCTCCCAATTTCTCCGCGTTACATCTTTCTCTGAACGACTACGAACTACGAAGCTCGTGTCCGAGACGAGGGAGGCCCGGTCGCAAAACTTACGCGTTATTTACGACGACAGTGCGTCGAAGCGAGGGCAAAGCCCGGCCGTTCCGCGTTCCCCGCCGGTCTATGCTTTTAAACAATTTATCGAGTGATTTATCGCGTAACAGGTAAGTGCACAGAGCGCATAGATGGCACGGGGGACTTTTATCTGGCATTCGCATTACAGGGCGTCGCGTCGTCTGGACGCACCTGCGAAATACTATTTATTGCTGGGCAACGACGACGAAAAAAGAGAGAGAGAGAGAGAGAGAAGAGAGGAGGAACGACAAAAATAGAGGGAAGGAGAGAAGGAAGTGGTGGAGGGGGAGAGAGAAAAAAAAAAAGAAGGATCGTTACCTCTCGACTGTAACGGAAGAGAGCCACGTTTTATCGCGTTTTGTCGCGTCGATGCAGATGCACACACGGCGATCCATCGTGCGCGATACCCTCGTATTGGCTTTCAGGAAGATGGACTTTACGAGGAGAGGGAGGGGGGGGGGAGAGGCCATTCGAGATATACTATATACGGGGAAAGAGGGAGGTCAATAGAGAGAGGAGGGACGGGGCGGAGATAGGCGGTTTACAAGATAATCTTTGTGTCGCGAATTATTGAAGGAAATCGACGGATCGGCGACGATAAAGCCCGTGAAAACGACAGGTTTACCGGTGAGCGAGGGATTTAATGGAAAGGTCGTCGCAACTTTGTCGCTCGTTCCGAGGTGGTCGTTATAAATTATTCCCTTGTCGCGTATGAACACCTCCCTCCCTTCTCTTTTCTCGAGAAACTCGTTTCCGAACGAGCAGCAGCGATAACAACCTCTACTTTGTCCGAACCGAAATAATTCCACGACGAGAGAGAAGAATTTGCGCGATTGTTATTATTGTGGAAAAAAGTCAAATCAATTGAAGGAATTCCGTTCGAATAGACTTTCCCTATCACAATTATTATTATTATGGAAGATATATCGCGTCTGATCGCTAAATTGCGACGAATCATTTTTGAAAATCGAGATCGGAGGCCGATATAAGGGTATCCGGTTACGAGATTGAATTAAAATTGAATTTTAATTCGGCTAGAGGAGGTTGGAGTTATACATAGATACGCACGCGTTAAAATTCGATACGACGCGTTTGAACACGTTTGTACACGGGGCGAGGGAGGGGAAAAATGGGGCGGCGTGACACGTGAGCGGGAAAGGGAGAGCAGCATGGCATTGGCAACAGCTCAAAGACGCGGCGGCGAAAGCGGAGCTAGATGCATAAATGATGCACTCCTCGGTTATTCCATCGGTCTTGTTGCGCGAGTCCATAAATTCGTGTATAAATCTCATCGTTCTTCCAGCGAAGTTACTGCTCGCATTAATTTCGCACTTGCGGCAACGCCGCTCTCCTATGCGCCCGGAGCAACAGGAAGACGAACGACACGTGCCCCAAAGTGCGCGCGCGCGCGCGCAAGCACGAGAGAACGAAAACATTGTCGCGAACCGCCTTCTTCACCACCGATGTTGATCCCTTGAAAATGATACTTGGAACGTTCCATCGCCCCTAATTCGTGCGTAAACGCGTTTAAATTATTTTTAATTTCGATGATCGTGTGCGATATTAACGTCCCGTTTAACCCTTTGCCGCTCGCGTTAAATTTATTTCGGGACGCGAATAAAATGTGTATGTAATTTAAAAAAATGGAAAGAAACGAATAGAATGATATAAGCGTAGAGATTGATTATAATAATTTCGATATTAAACAAATCCGTATTTTAAGACGAATTTTTACGCAAGATTGAAATGGTAGTAGCTGTCGAATTATATCACGGGTCATATGCCGTGAATGATGAATAAGAAAAACGGGAGAAAAAAGCGACTCACGCGATCTACGGATAATCACGTTAATTATATTACGCGAGGTACACGAAACGTTAATCCCGGGGGGACGATGCGTCGTGCATCTTAATTCTCATCTCTTGTATTAACTCCCATCGCGATATTAAAGTCGTCGTAAAGCGAGGGAACAAATCGCGATGGCCACGAATCCATTTATCACCGAAAAAATGGGACACGAATGTTGAACAGTATTGGCTATGAGTCATACTTTTACATTTTGTATTTATATAATTTTAACTGAACCACCCCATCTGAAACCATTTTCATTCTTCTGTATTAACGTTTATCATTTCATATTTTCCTCGTATCGATAAAAATAAAGTAAGGATAGAATTTCTTTAAAGAGATACTTTAAAAATTATCGATTGAAGGATTTGCAAAAATATTTCTAATAAAGATAATAACGCTCGATTCGGCATCGATTCAACTAATTTTTCAACACCCAGATTCGTATCTATTCCATTTCAAAAAATATTCCATTCCAAATCGTTCGGATGGAAGAAAAGAGTGTTTCAATAAAACGATATTGTAACAATAACCGCTCTCTTTCCCAAACAAAACCCTTTCCGCTCGATCAAGACAAACGCGTTCGAAAAAAATACCCACTTTTCGAAACCTGATCCAAAACCGGTTCCAATTAATAATTCATTCTCGACGATCGAAAATATTTCCTTCCTCCTTTCCTTTCATTCGAATCATACCGAAACTAAAACTATTTACGAACGACCTCTTACCTCGCGACATGGAGCACCACACCGTGGCTTCCTCGCTCGGGCCAAACGCGGGCCAAACGCACGACCTTTGGAGCGGTCGATTAAATCAGGCTCTGGTTCCGCGACACGCTCGGCGCGGTAATTCAAGGCCGGCTCGTGCGCGAGCATTAAATTCGACGCGGAGTATCGGGGCCCAACGAGCCGATGCCAAAAGTTGCGCGCGCTCGCGTGATCCGGCTGCGCATAAAAGCCCGCGGCTGCACCGCAAGCGGGCCGAACCGCATCATATTTTTACATAATTAGCACGTGGCGCTCGTGGTATTACGTTCCAGGCCTCGCGTCCCCCGCCAACCCCCCGCCGCTCGTTACTTTTTCCCCAAGCCTGCGGTATTTTTGGAAACCGCTGTAACCCCGTCCGCCTCCCTCCTCCTCCTACCCACCGCCCCTCTGTATATCATGTTTCTTGGAGGCGAGCCATGGTATACATGCACCAGAAGCGTGGCCTCTCTCTCTCTCTCTCTCTCTCTCTTTCAACGTGAAAGCCCATTGTGCGGCCGTGTATACTCGATCCAAGCGATTCTTATCCTAATTAAATCGGCCGAGAGCATTGTCTGCCCGTGGAGTTTCTATCGGATCTTGCCAGCTAGCGTTCTCTCCATTTGTGGCGTAACGTCATACCCTGGGGTATATATATATATATGTATGTATGCATGCATATGTATATACAGTATATATAGGCCGAGTGGGGGTGGGAGATTGAGACGTGGTTGCGGATTTGACGGGGATGGATCGCGGAATCGAAGATCCATCCTACGGATCGGGTAACGCGAGTAATTGGACAGTGATTACAGTTTTGGAGGTTGTGGACGGTGGTGTGGGTTCGAATGGAAATTTCAAATTTTCGGGAATGAATTAAGGAGGGAATAATCGAAATTTAGGAAAAGAATAGTTGCGACGAAGAGTAGATGATTTTAGAATCATGAAATTTTGAATATCTCGTAAGTAAGATATTTGGTTGTTGGTCGAGAAGAAATCGAAAGAAAGGTGCAGGAGTGAATAATAATCTGAGAGAGGGAGAGGAAAAATTGATCGAGAAGAAAAAAGTCTGAAGAAGTTTTCCACTCGTGTTTCATTCATTCGCGAAAATCCAACCGATCTTGCTCCGTGGTCGCCTCGTTTGGTGTATGCATAAAACAATCAAGATAATTGTTGAAGCTACATCGGGGGACCGAGCGGCTCGCTGCTTTCTACCCTCGTCTGGGATCGTGGTGGCTGGCGGAACGGAAGGCGGGCGGAAGTAAAAGGGACAAAGAGGGAAAGAGAGAAGGCAGCAGCTATCCAATTACATTGAAAACAATAGTCTTAAGTGCTCGCGGCGGTCCGTTCTGCCCACCCTTCCCATGCTTTTCTCAACCGAAGGGTTGCCCCCCACCACCACCACCACCACCACCCGAACAGGGGCCACCAGTGACGATGCGCAACTTTGGCTGGCTAAAAGTATTGCTCGCGAGAAAGTTGCAGGTAACATTCGGCGAATTGAATGAATCTTGCAGACGTCTCTCGACTTCTCTCGGCCGTTCGCCGATTAAGAAACGAGCGTCGTGTTAGGTGAGGGTATGTTGAGAATTGGTCGAGAAAGATTGGGGGGAAGAGTAAAATCGAGAATCTTCGATGCTGGTGTTATTTCGATTGGAAGATAATCGTACTGCAATTATTATTTCAATAGATAAATGGACGTGGATCCAAT